GCTGCCTCGGACCTGAGTGCTTTGCTGTGGCCCGTGTTCAGGCTCTCGCCCGTGTAGGGGTTCATCATGGGTGTTTGCCAGTGGCCTTGATCACAGATTCAGGCACGCAGGCCTCTGCAGTCTGTGCCGGCCGTGGCCTGGTGGAGCCCTTGTGCAGATCCATGGCCCCAGGCAGGTGGTGAGGACAGAGCAGCTGAGAACAGGAACACTTCCACGGGCCCAAACCCAGCCACTCTGCACTCCTAGCTACGAGGGAGGATGGGGAATGTGTTCCAGGTGCCTGCCAAGGAAGAACGGGAAGTAGATTTTGGTGAAAATAGACTAGTCTCCATATTCGAAAAAGACTAGTGACCCTCAGGACAGGCCAATCAGTGTGCTGTCAGGGACAGGGACAAAATCCACATGTGACCCACCATCCCTATGAGCACGGCTTAGATTATGCCAGCCCCAGGATCTCGGTGGCTTGCCCCAGCAGAGGGGGATGTCTTACCCACCAGAGTCCAGGGGGCTCTCTGGGAAATCTGTGTCCTGGGCTGTGACTAAGGGTCTAGGCTGCTTGGATCTTAGAGCTCAGCCCTCCCGGCAGGTCTGTGTGGGTGCGTGGCCCGGCAAAGGCAGCTCCAGCCAGGAAGTGACCTACAGCCCATTGGGCAGAGTGGGCCTTATGGCTTCACAGGGTGGCTTGGAAATCTTGGGGAGCAGAGAAAGCTCGGTGAGCCCGGTGTCTGGAGCATGTGTGGCTGTGCGTGAACATGTGCGTGTATATGTGTTGTTGACGCGTGGGGACCCACATGACCCCAGAATGACACCACAGCGTTTTCTCAGCTGTGACCCTGACAGGAGCAGATCGCCGGGTCTTCCTCCCAGGGAGCCGCTGGATGGGTCCAATCCACGGCTGAGCACTCAACCACTGCGCCACCAGGGCTCCTTCAGTGTCCCTGTGTATTAGACATGGACATACATAAACATCTCTGGTTTTACAGGGCAGCTGAGTGTGTGTGTGATTAGCTCTGGCGCCGGGCAGAGTGAAACCATCTGACGAGTTAGGGGGAGGAGCGGCCTTAATGTGGGGTGGGGGTCTGGAAAACTCATAATGGAGATCAGCACCACATTTTGAAACCTAAACCACAACCAGGGTTTGACTTTCCCTTCTTTGTCACTTTTTTGTTTATCTATTCCGTATTCTCTGACCTGCACATTCAACTACCTGCTATTCCTAAAAGGCTGTCATTTTATCAGAAGACCACCACTCAGAAGTCAGCAGTAGTGGGTTTTCTCACCCTTCTGATAGAAGGTGCCATTGGATCTCCTCTGACCCGCTGTCAGCTGGCCTGGTCCTCTTCAGTGCCAGGTGGGCAGGAAGGTCTGCTTGGTCCCTTCCCTGTGGGGCATCCTGGTGTGTTTAGTCCGGCTGGTCTGAGCAGCTGCTGGCCCAGCTCCTTGACCCCTGTGATGTAAGAAGACAGTTGCTTCAACTGGAGGTGACTGGTGCCCCCGCTGTTTCTCCGGGGGCGGGGTGCTGTCCCACGCTCATGGTTTCGTTGTCATGACAGGACCTGGTGCTGGAGAAGCTGAAGGGCCAGCAGCTGACTAGTGAGCTGCACAAGCTGAACCAGGGACTGGAGAAGGCCGGGCTCAGCAAGGAGCTGCTGCTTCAGGAGGACGGCGCCAGCCGTGACGCGTGAGGATGGCTCCCCTGGGGGTGGCTCCATGGAGTACACGTGCACGCATGTGCACATGCATACATGGATGCATACGAACTCGCACATGCACACGTATATACAGATGCTCACGTACACATGCACATGGATGGGCACATGTACACACGGATGCATACCTGCACGCGTGGGTGCACACAGATGCGCACACACGTGTTTGCACACGTGCACAGACATGGACTCACACATGCACATGTGGATAGAGACACATATGAACACATACACATGTGCTCACAGGCTTCTGCAGCTACTCTTCACGCCAGCGTGCACTGATGTCACGTGGCTCCATGAGCGCATGTCCTTTCTGGTTCACATTTGTACCTCAGGGTCCCCGAGGATGGGTAGGAGATTTTTCTTTGTCCAAGAGAAAGGTTTCTTAATTTTTCCTTTGACTATCACAGCTTTTCCCTGCACTGCTCTTTCTAAAAGGATCTCACTTCAAGCAAAATTGACTATTTTAGGCCTTTGCTGGGCTGTAACTTACTAGGTCCACGTGTAGTAGTTAGTGATAACGTGGTGCCTTTGTGGTGTGGTGAAAAAGGCCACTGCCTTATCACTTTCCCACCGCTGTGAGCTTGGACAAATTGCTCAGCCTTTCTGACACTCAGTTCCACCAGCTATAAAATGACTATCCTAGTACCTCCCTGAGATGGTGACCATGGTGTCGCGTTTGTCGGCATCACAGGTGTGCCCGCACAGGGAGCCGGGAAGGGCTCTGCACGCCTGCTTTTTGCTCCTGTTCTTCTGGGCCGGAAGCTACAGTGTGGGGAGAGAAACCAGCTTCGGGCAGGAGGGACGTGTCTGTTGGAAGGCTGGGAGCTGGTGGTGGTGGAGGTGGATAAGTGATAGTATCGTACCCTTTGTTTTTCAGAAAGTGCAAGATTTGGGAGGGCAGAAGTGAATCGGCATTGAAAACAACACTGGCCATGAAAGAAGAAAAGATCGTGTTCTTAGAGGCCCAGGTGGAAGAGAAAGTGAGCCTCAATCGGCAGTTAGAGAATGAGCTGCAGACGGTAAGAGCTCAGCGCTGGCTTGTCCCAGCACAGGGCCTCCCTCCTCCCAGCCCCCAACTCGGGTGGCACAGACGAGGCCTGGATGGCTGTCTCCCGGGGCAGGGCTGGCTGAGCCACAGGGTCACGGAGGGTGCTTCTGTCCAGTCGTGTGTGTGGGGCAGGGTGGGGGATATTCCGAGAGCGTCCGAGAGTGGTGAGTACCAGGCCCTGCACAGAGGCCTGCAGCCACTTCCAGTGGGGCAGCAGAGCACAGGGCCTGGGGAGGGCAGCTCATGTCCCCTCTCAGGCTCGTGTGTGCACACGTGTGCTCTGCCAGCTTCCCTCTGAGTGTGTGGTGTGTCACTTGGCTGTGGTCAAATAAGGAGTCGAGGGCAGAGCAGCTGTAGAGCTGGAGGGGCTCAAGGTCAGCTGGCCCGTGTGCCCCAGCCTCCCCTCTGTTTTATGGGATGGACATCTGAGGCTTAAGGAGGCAAGACAGTCACCCAGCTAAAGCAGAGGCTGAGCAGGAGTGGGGCCCAAGCCCCCGACCCCCTGCCCCTTCCACCATCTGGGAAAGAAGGGAGGAAACACATGGGATCAGAGGTTAGATGCACTTTCCCCAGAAACGCTGAAGGTGATATCTGTTGTGTTGGGTCTGGTGTCGTGTGAGTTGGGTGTGCTGAGCAGACGGGCTTGGTGAGGGCTCATCCTCTGTCCACCCACACTTGGTCCAGAGCCCGGCAGCTCCTGCCTCAGGCCTGCGTTCTAGTTCCAGTACCTTCCAGGTAAAGAAGGAGTGTGAGCTGCTCAGGCAGAACCAGGATGAGGACGAGCACACACAGAACGTTTTCAAGCCCCCTGTGGGGAAGCCAGCCACCAGTCACCAGGGCAAGGAGGCCTGGGGGCCTGGCCACAAGGAAGCCACGATGGAGCTGCTGCGAGTGAAGGACCGGGCCATCGAGCTGGAGCGGAACGTGAGTGGACAGTCCCAGCTGTGGTGGTTCAGAGGTCGCCCCGGCAGTGGTCCCTGTCGGCATGTGCCGTTACTGTGCAGACTCAATGGCAGAGGCTGCTGGGATTCACCTAGGACTTGCTGGGAAAACTCAGAGTGGGGCGGGAACATGACACCTTCAGGGTTTCTAACACAAGGGGCATCATTTTCCCACGAGGAATCTATGCCAGCCTGTGGGACCTGGCCCAGAGCTTTCATCTAGCTCTGTTTTAACTCGGTGCCAAAGTTAGCAAACTGTAGCCTCTGCTTGTTTTTTTTTTAAAACCTTTTGTAGTTTAGGTCAAGTTTCACAAAGATTCTTTTAACTTTCAACAGTTGATACACATTAAAGTTTTGTTTTTTTTTTTAAATTTTATTTTAAGAGCTTGTTTTACATTCACTGTTACGTGTACATTGAGTTTCATTCCCCATTTACCATGACCACCCCTAACCCAGTCTCTTCCCCTCCCTACCCTGTAACCCTCCTCCTGTGCTCCTCATATTTATGCGCTCCTGTTTGTCCTGCATTTCCTCAGTTTGAACGTTGGTCCTCTGGTATCCCATGGTCTATTGCTCTAAGGGATGTATTACCATCAAGTATGTGGGTGTATCATTGTGGGTTGAGTGGTCTGTGTGTACATTTTGTTAACTATTGGACTGAGAGCCAGCCCCTGGGGGTGTGTTTTATTCCAGGCTCAGAATGTGTTCCAGGGCCATAGTATTGGGAGTCTCACCAGATTTCATCTGACCAGTAATTCTGGTCATTACTGAGTTTTTGGATTTTGTTCCATGCTTTCCCTCCCACTCTATCCAGGATCTCCAGATTTGATCCTTTCCTGAGTTGTTGGCGTTGGTAGCTGGGCACCATCTAGTTCTTCTGGTCTTGGGGGCCATCGTGTCCTATGGCTGATTGCTTCTAAATGCCCTTTTTTTTTGCGTTCTTCTTTGCTTCTGGCGCTAGGAGACTGTTAGCTGCATCTTAGATGGCCGCTTGAAAGCTTTTAAGATCCCAGTCACTACTCATCAATGTAGGATGGATACACATTTTGTTTTGTGACACTAATTACACTCGCTACAGTGTTAACAGCTCTCCTCCTACCTCCTCACTGTGGTAACCTTTCCGTGTGTCCTTCTTGCCTGTGCGTTCCTGCTTCCCTACCTTCTGATCACCCATTGCTGACTGTTCTAAGGAGTGCATCTCCCAGGTGTAGGCGTTCAGCCCTCTGCAGATGAGTTTTTTGCAAATGAAAGTTCCTAGGATCTCAGTCGTGCCTTCTTGTTTATGCATGGTCAGCAGTAGAGTTAAGAGGTTGAGACAGATGTGCAGTGTTTTGGTTCATAAGCCCCAACATCGTTACTTTCTGGCCCTTTACAGAAAACCTTCACCGCCCTGTGTGCTAACCCGAGTTTATTTGGTCCTCACAGCACCTTCAGGAAGGAGGTAGAGGTCATTTCCATCGGGCAGATGAGAGGGCTGAGCCTAGACTTAAAGTCCCATGGGAAGTAAGGGACAGCACGAGACCGCAGCCCACACGTCCCGGCCCAGGCCCGGTGCGGGTGCATCTACCTGGTGTTTGTGGTCTCTTGCGAAGGAGGCAGGCCTCGCTCTGCCTGCTATCCCCGAGTACGGGGAGGCTGTACTGTAGGCCCTGATTCTTTGCTGTGATGGGCCCGTGCTCCTGGGCAGGGGAGAAACGCACTGTATCGGGTACCCCACAGAAAAGAGAAGTGTTGAAGCGAAAATGAAGAGATGGCTTTAACTCCGCTTGCCCTGCTTCCCACTCGTCTCCTCCAGTCCAGTGTGCGCTCCCTCCTCGTGTGTGCTCTTTCCTGTCTTAAACGCCCACAGTTGTCTGTCTGTCTGTCTGTCTAATCGCTCTCTTTTTTACTATAATATTTTCTCGGTGAAGATTTACATACCAGTTTTAAGCTCCTGTTCACGATAATCTACACAGGTTGTTCAGTGACATGGTTACGTTCTTCACGACATGTGAACGGTCTCCGTATTTCCATTCTGGTTGTTCTGTTTCCATTCATCTAGGTTTCCTACTCCCTTACATTCTCATCTTTGTTTTAAAGTCACTGTTGACTATTTTATCTCATACATATAGGTGATTTTTTTACAGACGCATTGTACTTACAGGTGATACTTATAATTTATTGAACCAGTTTGTTACTTAGCTACCTGGTGACCTCAGGGCTTAGGTTGGTTCAGGGTTTAGAGAGTATCTGAGGGCAATAGTCTCAGGAGTCCTCCACCAGGCTGGTGGGTCTGTTTTTGCTTGTTTTTTAGGAGCTTGAGGTCCTGTTTCACATTTTTGTCCCATTCTACCAGAGCCCATCTACTGTGGCACGTATATAGTTCACATTTTTGTCCCATTCTGCCAGAGCCCATCTATGTGGTGCTTATGTATTTTGATCTGCTGATTGTCCTTTTCAAACAGGGCAAACCTGTACTTGCCTTACCTGGTGGTCACTGGCTTTGGCCCCCAAAGCGTTGCCCCCTGAGGGTTCGTCACAGCCCCAGTGCCTGTGGGCACCGAGCGTCCACCCAGCTGTGTGTGATGTGCCTCTCGCCCCACCCCCTAGAATGCAGCACTGCAGGCGGAGAAGCAGCTGCTCAAGGAACAGCTGCAGCACCTGGAGTCCCAGAACGTGGCGTTCAGCAGTCAGATCCTGACGCTGCAGAAGCAGAGCGCCTTCCTGCAGGAGCACAACACCACGCTGCAGACCCAGACGGCCAAGCTCCAGGTGAGGCCACGGCGGCTGCTGGGCTGGCCACCGCTGGGGAGTGTCAGTCCACGTCGCCTCGAGACCAGCCTTGAGCCTGGCGACTCCCAAGAACAGCAAGAAAAAGTATGGGAGATTTCAGAGCATATGAGAACGGGCTCCTTGGGGGCAGTGGTCCCCAGCCTTGGGGTCCTTGAAGGCTGGGGTAGCTTATTAGCCCTTTCTAGAGACTGGGCATCCTTTCTCTTGCATTATTTTTATGTGTTGCGGCCTTGTCCCTGTTCTTCTGGGATCAAATGAGTTTGGTTAAACAGAGTTAACCAGATTCTTTGCTGAAGAGCCTACAGAGCCTTTTGTACTTGACTGAATTCTGAATCATCAAGAAGGAAGTGGGGTGTGGAACGGCCCCGAGACGGATAAGAGCGTGTAGTAGAGCTAGCGTCCTGTGCCACCCCCTCCGGATGTGGTTTTTACTCATGGTTAACAGATTTTTGCAAGTGAATTATCAGTTATGGATGCAGTTTCTGAGAAAAGTGTTCAAAAAACATGTAACAAAGGAATGGGGACAATATGCAGGCTACTTCTTGGCAGAGAGTTTGGGATTTATTTATTAAAGCAAGGAAGGGTTCTGTAGGATTTTCTGCATAGGTGATCACATCACCTATGCCTAAAGACAGTCTGGCTTCTTCCTTTCCTGTCTGGGTCCTCTTGCTTCTTCTTTGCTGCACTGGCTGGCGCCCCCAGCACAGAGGTGAGCACAGTGGTGCACAGGGCCATTCTTGCCTTCTCCTTGATCTTAGGAGAGAGCGTTCGGTTTTCCACCTTGAGGTGGAATGGTTGCTGGAGGTTGTTCATAGGTGCCCTTTCTCCAGTCTAGGAAGTGACTGTCTGTAGTTTGTTGAGAGTTTTAGTCAGGAACAAGTGCTGGAGTTTGTCCATAGCTTTCTCTGCACTCCTGTGACATGATCAGAGTTTTTCTCTTCAGTTTGTTAGCGTACTTGGTTACATTGATATTTCAGCTGTCAAACCAACCTTGCGTTCCTGGGAGGTATTTCACTTGGTCATGTTCTGTTCTCCTTCTTATATATGATTGGATTTGGTTTGCTAAAATTCCTGTTAAACAAAAACAGACTTTTAAAAAAAAAAAAATATCTCTTTTGATGGAGAGTGGGAGCTCTGGTAGCGTAGTGCCTAAGGCATATTTGACTGCTAGCCAGAAGGTTGGTGGTTCAAACCCACCAGCCACTCTGTGGAAGGAAGATTGGACAATCACTTCCATAAAGATTTACCACCTTGGAAACCCAAGGGGCTTGCTATAAGTCAGAATTGACTCAGTGGCAATGATTTTGTTTTTGTTTGGTGTTTCTTTTTGAATCGAGTGTAGGTAGTTTTCTTGTGTGCAATTTTCCATTTATTTAATCTTTTCATGATCAGATTATTTTCTGCTTTGAATTTTTTGTTGATACTATATGTTTTCAATAATGAAAGGCATGCTGAAATCAAGGGAAAAAAATTTTTTTGAGGTAATAGGGATTGTGATACAGTCATGTGGGATACATGTGTTCCAAGTGGACTCTGAGCAGAATTGGTGGCATGAGGCAGGCCCATTTCTTCGGATTTACACAGTTATACAGGTCCCTGTCAGGTGGCAGCATGCACTTCAATTAGGACAGCAGCTTCCCAAGAAACCTGAGAGGCTGAAAATGTTGGTAGGTGCTATATGTCTGTAAGTTGAGTTGTAGAATTTATTGGCATGGAATCGTTCATAGAATTCCCTTATCCTTTTAATCCCTGTAAAATCTTCCTGATGTTATGGTTATCATTCCTGTATTGTTTATTTGTGCTCCTGTTTTTTCTTGATCAGTCTTAAAAACAAAAACCAAACGCACTGCTGTCGAGTCAGATCCAACTCATAGTGACCCCTCCTTGGGTTTCTGAGGCGGTAACACTACAGAAGTAAATTGCCCAATCTGCCTTCCGAGGAGTGGCTGATGGGTTTGAACCACCAGCCTTCTGGTTAGCAGTCAGGCACTATGCTACCAGAGCTCCTAACTACAGGTTTGTCAATTTCATCGATCTTCTCAAAGAAGAAGCTATTGGTTTTATTGGTTTTCCTGTTTTTGTTTCATTTATTTCAGTTCTAGTGTCTTTTCTTCTGCTCGCTTTGGGTTTTGTTTCTTTTCTAGTTTCTTAAGGTGGCAGCTGAGGTCATTAGTTTGAGAATTTTTCTGTTTTCTAACGTAGGCACGGGAGTGCATGTTTATTTCCTGTGAGTACTGACTAAGCTGCATCTTACAGCTTTTTATATCACCTTTTGACATGTTTTCATTTAATTCAGTTCTAAATACTTTCCAATTTTGATTTTTTCTTTGACTTATAGGTGGTGGTTTTTTTTTTTTTTTTTTAAAGAAATGTCTTGTTTAGTTTCCAAATATTTGAGAATTTTTAGGTATCTTTCTGTTTTGATTGCTAATTCAGTTTCAGTGTGGTCAGAGCCCATGCTATGCATGAATACTTTTAAATTTATCGTGACCTGTTCTATGGCCTAGAATAGGGTCCACCTGGTAACTGTTCCATTTGTGCTGGGAGAGAAATGTGTCTGGCTGTTGCTGGGTCGGGTGTCCTATGAGTGCCAGTTAGGTTATGGTGGTTGATTGTGTTGCTCACACCTTTGTATCCTTGCTTAGCTGTCTGCTTGTTCTAGAAATGAGAAAGAGGACGACCAAGGAGGTTACCCGGAGAAAGGGCATAATCAGCCCAGAGACCACATTTCTGGGGAGGGGTTCAGCCTGCCAGCACCGTTTCCTAGTTCATTTGTGCCACTCCCCACTTCCCAGAGTGATCCCTGAGTTGGGGTAGATGTGCCCTCAGCCCCGTCTGGGTTCAGCCAGCCTGAGAGCGTCTGGTTCTTCCTGTCTGATGTGCTTCTTGGCCAGGTTTGTTTGCTGCATGGGAGTGTGAGCCTGTGGGTCTGAGGCAGCCTGGTGCTTCTCCCTCGTTTGCCCTGGTTGTGTGCATCGAGTTGATTCTGACTCACGGTGGCCCGTGTGACGGAGCAGAACCCCATAGGGCTCCCTAGGCAGTGATCTTTACGGAGCACATCACCTGCTCTCTCCCATGGAGCCGCTGGGTGGATTCAAACCACCCACCTTGCAGTTAGCAGCCACGTATGTACTCGTTGCACCACTAGGCTCGTTCTCCCTTGCTGCAGGTGGAGAATTCCACACTGAGCTCCCAGAGTGCCTCGCTCACTGCGCAGTACACGCTGCTGCAGAACCAGCAGACGGCCAAGGAGGCGGAGAACGAGAGCCTGCAGAAGCAGCAGGAGCAGCTGGCGGCGGCCTATGAGGCCCTGCTGCAGGACCACGAGCGCCTGGGCGCCCTCCACGAGCACCAGTCGGCCGAGTACGAGGCCCT